TTGAACTGTGGACGACTTGCACGTGTTGCGACAGATATGAGAAAGGCATCGCTCCTTGTCCGTCTTGAAAACTTAGCCGCAAGCTTCGGTTTCGACTTGTCGTTGGACATGTTTCCAGATGACGACATTCGTGCCCGGGGGGACCGTGGGCTGAGGAATCCTGTAGGTGGAAGGATCAGGACTGGACAATCTGCCATCGCAACGATCCGAGCGCATGCCAAATCGCACATGGACAAAGCGACCAAACTAGAATTTGGCTCGCTCACAGAGCGTTTGTGTTTGGATCCGTTCTACGCGTTCAACTGCGCGGCGCAGGACGTGTCCCCTGACTGTTTGAAGTTTTTGCAACGACTCAGTTCAGCGGTATTGCCCATTCCAACATACCGCCCAACAAATCCAAGACGGGGTAGGTGTCAATGTGAAAGCAAAGATCCTCATGATCCCCGACACATCCCAGCGCGAGGTCGACGTGTCGAATGAGGTCTTTGTGTTCTGGAAGAACAAGGTCCTACGCCCCGGTGTCTTTGTTGGACTGTACTCGATGGAGAGCAATCGCTTTGAGGTCTTGGGTTTTTCCGGCTCATTCCTCTCGGAAGAGAAGGACGTTGAGAAGCTCAAAACGGAGTTCGTTGGCTGGCTGTCATCTGGCCTCCAGAGCATTCCGTCCTACGAGAACCTCGTGCGTGCAGACCCAAGAAACATTCACGTACCGGAGAGAGAGGGTGTCGATCGTGCGAAGGGAAAAGGTAAGGGCACATGGCGTCACGGAGGCCGTCAGGCTCGTGAGAATGCACCTTACCCCAGGAATCGATGGGCCCGTGATTGGAGGGACCTCGATGATGACGTTGGAACCATTCCAGGTTGGCATTATGCGGATTGGACATGGTACCAAGACAACTACGGAGCGGATTGGTGGCGTCGCGGACGATGAACTCCACCAATGCACGGCGGGAGCCGATGCCTTATGGTAGTTGTGCAATTCTTTTCATTCAGCGCTTGTGGTCGCACATTGCCTCTTTAGGCGTCGAAATGCTCTCAGAAGCCTTTGCACGCGCTGCGGAAGCAGTAGCCTCACGTTCAACTTCTTTGAGGCTGTCCGCATTCTTTGCAAGGCTTAAATTCATTTCTGCCGAAGTGCACTCTTCCTGAAAGGAAGCATCACTCAGCATGCCGCGTGGAAACGTGTGCCTATGTAAAAGGCCCATTTCCAATTTGACGAGCTGTGGATGCATGTGAAAAGCGCTGCGTCCGATCATCAATCGTCCGTTCGGCAGTTGACTTCATAACTTAATCGAGTTAATCGTCATTTCCCTGCGCCTCAGGTCGGCAAAGAATCTATGAAAGCCATAGGCGCGTACGGTGTTGACCACAAGGGAAACACCGGGGAACCGGAGGTCAGAAAGGTATGCACGTTGTCCCGTGTACATAGTCGTGTATAGAGTTCTTCACTACCTTTGCTGCCAAGTGCGTTCAGCGGGGGGTGTATTTGCACGATTGTACACCTGTACATACCATATTGACCTCTATGTTTGGCTCAAGAAAAGGGCGCTCTACATGTTGGTACTTGTAGGCTGTTGGCCTGTAAATTCAAATGTAATCTCCAAGTATCGTGCCACGCCGATGAACATCACGTTAAGTAGTTTTGGGAGTTCCGCCAAGCACATTGAAGAGAGCTCTCGGCGAGGTGGTGAGAATGGGCTTGTGTTCCAGAATGATCCCCAAATTTTTGACTAAGACTGCTGTCTGAGCGGCTTAGTGCTGAGTCTGTTTCAAAGTGATTTGTCTTCCAAGTTGGTCAGTTTCATGATTTTCATGTGTTCCTAAATGAGCCGGTTGCCAGTTGGTAGACCTTTGGATCCAGCCAAGTCATGTATACAGTAGTGGATTAACACTCTAGCCACCCCCAGATCATCCTTCCGCCTAGACACCATCTACCCCCTGTTTATTTTTGTGTTTGAACCAGAAGAACAGGGCGGCGCACCATCCAAAATCATGGCAATTTTGATTTGTTTTGAGTGTTGGAAACCTGTTTCAGCCATAATGGAATTGCAGCCGTGGAAGGATGCTACTACAGCGAATGGAAGGTGTAAAGACCTTGCCGAAGAGGAGTGCACTCAATGAGATGCTCGGACAGCAGCTATGAAGTGACGACCTGTGCCTGAATTGTTGGTGAGCATGCCACCTCAAATCAGGTGATGACCCGGTCGATTTTGAATCTGAAGGAGAGTGCCCTAAAGAAGAATCTAAGAACTTGGTAGACCTCGCTTTTTTGATGACCTGTTGATCTCGACGTGGCATCAACCACATCTCAGGATCTTCGACACCGCTCATCAGGACTTTTTTGGGGGCTCACAGCAGTTGTCAGTCTCGAGACGAGTTAACTGGACGGCAGTTTTCCAAAGTCATTTGGTTGGTATAGGTAATATAGGTTGCATTGGTTTTAGCCAAAGGACACATTCATGTGGAATGTTCTTGTGCCCCACAAGATTTGTATAGCTTTGCACTTTGTAAGGCTTTCTAGTAGCTTCGATGCGGCCATAAACAAGTTTAGTTTGGATATATACACTTGATTTGGACTGTCACTTTTGCTCATTCCGCATTTGGTCCTGCGACCCACTCTGAAAAGGAGGTGATTTGCACTGCCAACTCTGAAAAGTTCGAGGTTGCGCTGTCTGGCACCACCTTGTCGGTGCGGTGCCCAGAGAACTTCACGGGGCGCCGCACGAGTCCAGACGGGGTCATTGAGCTGCCACCGTGCACTGCCCCTGCATGAGTCTTTTTTACACCCAATGAGCAGCACACAGAAGCATGGTCGCCAGTGTTGTGCCCTGTTAGCTCCAAGCAGCGTTGACAGCGCAACATTTGTGACGATGTTCACCGCTGTGAGGATGTTGATGGTTGATTGATGGCTGATTGCATGCATTCACTTGACAAAGACGTGCTATGCTCTTCAAGACATGTGAGGGAGGACATTGTTCTTTCAAGATTCTTCGCTACGTGAAACGTGGCACACATTCTTGCACCAAGGTGGCCATCATTGACCGCCCGAACCGGAAGGTCATGTTGGCCTGGGCCGATGCCTCAAGTCGACAGGGCACCAGTCGACTTGGACCTGGCAAGTCTGCTGAGACACGAAACGGCACCCACCCGGAGAGGACGAAACCGTCTCGGTCCTGAAACCGGACGCCTGAGACCGCCACGCGAGACACGCGAGACGGGCATGGCGCGAGGCCGGTGACTCTCGCATGGTCTTGGGCCGCCCAGCACGAAAGGGAGTGCCTCGGTGTGAAGATCTTGAGACCCAAGGGGGAGCTCAGAACACGTCCGGGCAAGTCCTAGTCCTAGAGGTCCAAATTTACCGCTTGCTCTCATGTTTCAGCCCTTGTGATTCGACGTGAACCCACTGTATCGTAAATAGGAAGCAGAAGAGTCTCGTCGTCAGATTTCCGGACTCTTGTTTGGAGTGGAAGACACCCGGCAATTCACCCCTTGGCAACCCTGACATGAGAAGTCGGTCTAAGGCATAGCGTTCTTGCTACTAGTAGTGATGCCCTTTGTTACCAGTATCTTGCTCCTAGTAGTAAGGCCAGGAGCTACTCGTAGCGTCCTTGCTCCTACCAGCGATGCCCTTGTCCCGATCTGAGGTCCTCTCTCGCCTGGCCACTGGGCCTTCTGTGCCTTGGGCCTGTTGTGGAAAGAGGACAGATCCACGAGAATCCTCAGAGAGCAGGATGAAACTCACGCCTCTGCTTCATTTTGTGTGGGATTAGAGTATGGAGGCATGAGTTGGTGGTCCTGCATGTAGACATAGCTGTGACAAGGGGTCATTGATGATTCGATGATTCTAATGCCGAGGGAACTCCTGGCTTCGGCCGCTCTGATGTAATGTACCTGGCCCACCGAGGGAAAAGCAGAGTATGCCTCTTGATTGCACGTCAGAGCCAGCTGTGTTAAATATAGCTGAGCTATTAGGCCATGTGAGGAGATCTATCCCAGGCCAACTTGAGAAGAACTTTGCTGAAACTTTCTTGTCTCAGCAATTCTCACAAATCCCCCCCTAAAGCTCGGAAGATTCAGTGAGATTGCAGTTGCCTAACATTGGTTGTCAAGGTGGGCGGCTCGGCAGATCACAAGCCGAACGATCCCAAGGACAAAGCTACCTGGATGCCGCCTACGTCGGAACACGACCTGGCTGTAGGGTGATTTTGCTTGGCCAAGAGACATCATCAGCTGTGGGCCCTGATTGTGTAGTAATGTCTTTGTTCTGCCTAGCTGCACAAAGCCTGATGCATGCTCTTGCACCGAAGGAATTGGTGTGCGGAGCCTCCATTTCCCCGTGTTTACCGGTAAGCAACGGTGAAGAGCCATAGGCGTCCCTGCTTATTCGGCCTAGTAAGCAGGTAGCAAGAGTTTTCATTCTGAATATGTCTCAGTTATATGGGGAAATCGAAGCGACCGTTTCTTTCCGTTTGATCTACTCCATCCGGCAAAAGGAGAAGCAGCGCATTGAGCAAAACGGAGGGCAGGTGCTCCTACTGCCGGGCGTTCCTTGGCCGAACATTGCTCCGTCCGTAGAACCGTTCGTAGCGTCCGATCGCTCCTAGTAAGGCCAGGAGCCCCGTTCGTAGCGAACATTGTTCCTACTAATAAGAATGCTACTAGTAGCGATGCCAGGAGCCCCCCCAGGAGTGTCCTTGCTCCCAGTAGCGATGCCCTTTGCTACTAGTAGCTTGTTTTTTGGAATTCATCGAAGAGGTCTCCCCGTCCCGAAGCTGGAATGGCCATGGTTCGCGCAGTGCGCGACTGCAGATGTTTTAAAGTTTACAGACGTTTTGTGTTGGTGAAGTAAATTTCTCAGAAAGCAGCTAGGTACAGTGAAGATTCCAAGCTGGTGACATTTCTTGCCACACATGCTTGGCTTCGATTAGCCCAAGCTTGCTAGCAACTCGTCACGCCTTTTCCCTAGATTCTGCG